GAGCATGTTTCTTTAAAATTTTGTCTAGCTTATTGTAAAAAGTGGAGAAAGATCGATCTGTGTTATTTTGCACAATGCAATCCCAAGTTCAGCTATGAAATCATTTTCTGAAAAGTTAGAAAATCACGCTATTTTATTTTCCGGTTTTTCAGAGGTTCTTTCTATCGCCGTATTATTTAAACAATCTTTAACATACATGCCGACACCTCCAGCAGCTCGAGGCGTCGGAACGTATTCAACTGAGTAACCTGTATCCGATAGAGAATCAATTTATATCTTAAGGGCTTGGTTTTGTTTCATGAGACTGCAATTGTGGCAACAGATTCAGGAGTGCTTAAAATAGGATCATAGAAAATGACTATGTGACAGTAAACTAAGTGAGAAGATCAAAGTGTTGAGGAGCTTAAAAATCAACTTCCATCTTGGTCAACCCATCGCTGACCAACTTACGAACAGGGGTCTGACAATGTGTGATGCTACATGAACTTCGGGCATTTATGTTTCGACCGTTTGGCCGCAGGTGGAAAAAAAACAACAAGTTAAAAAGAAGCACAGAACCTATACCCCAACAAGTACATAACCAAGTAATCGTCCAAACGAACGCTGATTTGAAGATGTGCATACGCGTATATTAGAAAGGGCGAGGCAACATAAGGTGCTGTCCAATAGCCTGGGGCTAGTTGACCAACCTGTTTAGCTAGCATATTTCAATTACGGGTTTGATTGAGCTCGGTTGACATGCCGAGCTCGATGAACCTGTATCGAGCTCGGTTGCCCACATAACTAAACTGATCCAGGAACATGTGCCAAGATAAAGAATATGTTAGTGAAAAAGGGGTTGGTACGCTTGTGCGACTCCATTCGAGACTACCTGTGCGGTCATAACACAAGTGATTTTTTAACTCTTATTTGATGGCTCTGAATAAGGCATCATAAAGACTGGAAGGTTTTTATTGCTTAAAAGATGTTGTCGTTAATAGTAAAATAAAACAGTGTTCTGGTTACTCTGAATACTACTAATCCAATTAATTGTTTTCTGATTCTGATTACCGTAAGATTCTATTAGTCACGTTCACACTACATGTTCTGATTTTCAGCAGTGCGCGTGAAATTAACTGAAATCAGTGACGTTTTGTTTGCAATTCCTGATTATATATTTAAATTGTTATTTAGATAAATATAACATTTAATTGCCAGAAAACATGCAAAACTGATATGATAAAGTGTAATATTTTTATCAGGCCACTAAGGCCATAGACGCGAGCACAACTATAGATCACTGCTAAACTCGTGAAAACGTCTTCAGCACAAACACTGTCATGTCCGATGAAAGTTAAGCACTTACCAGAGTGAATCTTATCTGAAGAAATGCTGGCCATCGAAAAGTTTGCTTTGTTGATTTCGTTTACGGTGTTAATTTGACTTTACGTGGAGAACATCCGGGACTTTCCTAGTGCTTGCAGCCAGGGTTCATACTGTGACACTAAACACGGCGAGGCCCATATTACCACAGCAACAACAACAGCGAAGAAAAATCAGCGCAGGTAAGCTACTGGTTATAGTTTTGACCTCCCGCATGCTCCTTCGCGAACGTTTCTTGCTACAAAGGAGACTAGTGAGTCGTAAAAACTGGTTGTTGTCTTGAATTCCTGCTTCCTTCAGCTACTTAGAGAAAAGAAGGGTGGTGCTGTAAGGAACAGGTGGGGGGAGGAGAGGGGCACGGAATTAAAAGAATATTTTCTCCCATTTTACCAACTGAGTCAACAAGGAGAATTTGCTGGCTTTTAAAAGCTGAAGTTTTTGTTTTTATTTGTTAGCAACCGGATCTTCACCAACTGTCATAGCCGCTCTAACATCAACTGTAAATCGCACCACAACAAACCTCCAACCTCTGGTACCAATCGGAATACAGCTCCAACAGCCTCGTTCCAAGTTTGAATGGTTCAGTTCCCACAACAAAGTGGCCCCGCCCAGATTCAACAGACCATTGTACAATCACCAAGAGGTGCTACTACACCGGTTCAGATTCACACTCAACAGGCTCAAGTCGTTCAAGGCCTACAACAGGTTTGTCAACGGACAATAGGACTGCTAACGTAGAACGGTCGATACCTTCATTCTTCAGTAGAATGAATCAAAGAAGAGAACTCATCTTGTGAAATACTTACAGACTTAGCCGCTCAGTCGTATACCCTTATTTCCCAACCCCCCGTAACTTCTCGAACCCTCGCTTTCTTGAACAGAACCTTTCAATATGTCAGTCGAACCTAGACTAACTTCACTTTTCCAGACAAACACTTAATTTGTCCCCCTCCTCAACCCCGTTTTTCCAATCTCTCGAGGATTTAAACCAATTTCCTTTTCCCTATGAGGTTCAAAATGAACAGGATTCCATGAAATCTGATGTAACCTTCAGACTCTAAATAATTATCAGATCTTAGAGATGTGCTTAAAAGTAGCGTTTTTGAATCGTCATTACCGTAGGTTTTCCTCTATGTATTCAAGGAACAAAGCCAGCCAGCAGGTTACAAGCTTCACATTAACCTACGATCAGGCTTTTTTCTTTTCGGGGGAGAAGGACCGCCTGATCGCAAGTTAGGTTCACAACACCAAAACCTACTCAACCCAGCGAACTTTACTACAATCAAAGACAAAAGTAGTTGGGAAGGCTGTACAACTTAACAGTAGTCCATTTTAATCCTGAAAAAAGAGAGTTTTCTCTTTTGCTAAATATCCCCCGTCCCCCCTGTTCAATGTTGGGATATAACAGAACAATTACGCGCACAAACATTAACGTTTTGATCAACATTGGGCCAGGGGCGGGGGGAGGAAGGAAAAGAAGAGGTAAAAAAGGCAACCTTCCCAACACTTTTGACGATGATTTTAGCTTTGGTATGGAAATACTAGTCTGTTCTCCAGACCGTAGCAAATAAATCCGCCGCGCTCGGCTATTTCTAAAGAGAAAGTCTGTGACTAGACTTGTAATTACTTGTTTTGATGACTCGCCATAATAAACCTTTTGTAACCTTTGAAAACCCTTCTTTTGGTATGCATCGAGTAATTGTCCTCTAAAATGCTAAGTTGGAAAGTTTTCCTTTTCCGCCAAATTTCTGCAGGGGTTTGTAAAAATCAGACTGAATCACACTAAAGGGGATAATTTTACTGATGTGTATCTTTTTTTCCGGCACTTTTACAGATTCAAGGGAAACCCTTAGGTACTGTTAAAGTAACTCAACAAACACAAGGAGCCCAAACAACAGCAAGAGCACAGGGAAGGTCACCTGCACAGAGGAGAAAATCACAGAATAAATAAAGACTGAATGCTCAATAATATATTGAAAGTTCAAGTAAAACCAGATATTGAAAGTTTAAGTAAATTAAACCCAGATATTAAGATCGCCATGTAAAGCTGTCGGACAAATGATTGTCCTCTGCGGTTATTTATTCAAATACAAGTTCGTCTGATTGTCCTCCACTGCACCTGTTTTTGGGGGCAAGTCCGATTTTCTGTTCTAATTGGTCTTAACAACCGCAGCGAAAGTGGATGTGTAGCGAGGATTTTTCCATTGAAGCCGTAACTACATGTTTCCTCAACTGAGATCAACGATAAGACGATTCGAAACCCGCCGCAATTCTAAAAGTTTGAATCCCTTTCTTTCATGGACATTTATAAACTCATTTAATATCTTCATCTACATCCACATTTAATACTCATCAGAAACTAAGTACAGTTATCACGCTAACATATCAATATGCAATATCATTCGTATATAGCATGAACAGGGTTATTGTGATTGCTCTAGACATTTGAGCCTTTTTGTTCATACCCTGTTATGTACCAGTAATAGTTGACACTACAGCTGCCCCAACTCTGTATATAGTATTCTTGCTCCTTGTTTAGCTCTTTGTAATATACCGATTCATAATGAAGATGTTCACAAATATTCCATACAATAAGTGAGATAAATACAGGAAATAAACGCAAGGTTCCATGCACAGTTTCGGTTCGATTTACACAGCTTTGATCAAAACATTCTCAGTTTCAAGAATAGTTTATTCTAAACCATAAGAAAAGATTTAATTAGAAGTTTAATTTTTCGCTATTTCTGTTTCACTTTTTACATTTAGTTCATTTCATTTGCCGGAAAGTAAGCCTTACAAATTAAAAGGACATTTGATCAATTCACGCTCGCGTACTCTAGTCTTATTTTAAACTTTATAGCGGAAGGACATCTGTGAGCAGGGAATAAGTCAGCACTGAATTTGATGGTCGGTGAATTTATGTAATCGTCCATCGTTCTGCTAGTGATAAGCTAGCCGTTGAATCATTCGCTCGTCTCGCAGCTGAAGGTTTCCAATCAAAGATTTGTGAACTCGTGTCTGGCAAACTCACTTAGTGTTAAAATATACACTGTTCTACCACCTTATAACTTCATCTGCGCTTAACGAGTGTCTTTTGGTCCATAACTTTCATAACAACTGCCACAGAATGTCACTGGCAACACGTAACGCAAAAGAGTATCGAAGTGTGACTGCACAATTAATGTCACAAAATCTACCTATTGTAAGCTGTTCCTTCGGGATTTTTTTGTGTTTTACGTCATCCTAACCATTTCGTACTACTACCTACCGATTCCTCGCGGCCCCTGTTCAAGCAAATCAAGATTTTTTCTATATTGACTGTATGACTGTATATTTCAACTGTAAGTACTTTCCTTAATATACGCGCGAGTTACTAGAGTGCCTCCTCGGGATTTCGCCTTCTGGGCGAAATCCCTGCCGGGGCAAAAATGGTGAAATAGTCTGTAAGTTGGTAATATTAAACTATTTTAGCCGCGTTAGATATGATATAACTTAACAGTTTTTACTTAGAAACTAGAACTACCATGAGAAAAATATATCCGTAGAAATAGAAATGTACATACGGAAAAGTTCACTAAAACTCGTCGTAGACTCGTATACCGTAATTACTCGAATAAACGCCACCCTCGATTAAACGCCGCAGATGGAAGCAAAGTTAAAAATATAAGCCGCACCAAATAAGACGAATGCGGCGTTTAATTGAGGATTATAANAATAAATGGGAAGGTTCTTTCAACCAACACTGTCCAGGTGAAACAACGGCTCATTCAGGTTTTGGGGGAGTTTGAATTAAAAAACGAAACGTTTGAAAAACCACTAGGGTTGGCTGTAAACAGTAAAGGGCAAATTGCTGTTGTTGACAACGAAAAACACTGTGTTCTCATAACTGACATGGAAGGAAACTGTCTAAGAAAACTTAGTTACTATGGAAACAAGGAAGGACAGCTAAAAAGTCCAAGCGACGTTACCTACCTAAATGATGATAACATTCTTGTGGCGGATGAATTAAATCGTCGCATTCAACAATTTAATGTTCAAACTGGAGACTTTGTGAAGAGCTTTGGGAAGAGAGGGACAAGAGACGGAGAGTTTCAGAATCCTGTCAGTGTTTGTGTGGATGATGAAGGACGCGTTATCGTGGTCGACACCCGTAACCATAGGGTCCAAGTTTTATCACAGGATGGTGAACCTCTGTTTAAATTTGGAGACAGTGGACCAGAAAAACTTGGCCCCTTTGGATGTATTTACCATGAGAACAAGTTCATTGTTTCTGACTGGGATGATAATTCTGTGCAATTTTATGATAGTACTGGAAAGTTTTTGTATAAGACAAGAGAACCACGTCAGGGTGATGAACGGTTGTACTTGAAGGGTCCAAGGGGACTTTGTCTCCAGAAATGTGGTAATCACCATAATCTTCTTGTATGTGACAGAGACAATGGTCGTGTTGATCAGTTTACATTGGAGGGTTGTTTTACTGGGAAAACTGATTATAAGTTTAAAGGTCTCTCAAGAATAACTACAACACCGGATGGCCTTATTTTAGTTTCGGACTTCAAGGCCGATAAAATATATATTCTAAAATAGTACGTGAACAAACTGTCAAAGAGAAGCCAGCCCATGCAAACCGAAACGGAAAACACTGAGATATACTCACTGAAAAGCTATGTCGCAAATATAGAATAGGGACACCCAACGAGAATATAGTTCAAAACCACTTAAACATAGCATTGTTCATCCTCGGAGACCCAGGGGGCAGATAAAGGGGGCGAGGGAAAGTCTAAACGGGCGGAAAAATATATATGGAACGAAGAAAAGTAAAGAACGGCGAGAAGAGCCCCTGGGGACAATGTCTTACCAGACCAGTTCCAAACGGTCGCCGCCGTTCTGGCTTCTGATTGGTGCCAGAAAACTTGTGTTTTTCTGGCACCAATCAGAAGCCAGAACGGCGGCGACCGTTTGGAACTGGTCTGGTAAGACATTGTCCCCAGGGGCTCTTCTCGCCGTTCTTTACTTTTCTTCGTTCCATATATATTTTTCCGCCCGTTTAGACTTTCCCTCGCCCCCTTTATCTGCCCCCTGGGTCTCCGAGGATGAACAATGCTATGTTTAAGTGGTTTTGAACTATATTCTCGTTGGGTGTCCCTATTCTATATTTGCGACATAGCTTTTCAGTGAGTATATCTCAGTGTTTTCCGTTTCGGTTTGCATGGGCTGGCTTCTCTTTGACAGTTTGTTCACGTACTATTTTAGAATATATATTTTATCGGCCTTGAAGTCCGAAACTAAAATAAGGCCATCCGGTGTTGTAGTTATTCTTGAGAGACCTTTAAACTTATAATCAGTTTTCCCAGTAAAACAACCCTCCAATGTAAACTGATCAACACGACCATTGTCTCTGTCACATACAAGAAGATTATGGTGATTACCACATTTCTGGAGACAAAGTCCCCTTGGACCCTTCAAGTACAACCGTTCATCACCCTGACGTGGTTCTCTTGTCTTATACAAAAACTTTCCAGTACTATCATAAAATTGCACAGAATTATCATCCCAGTCAGAAACAATGAACTTGTTCTCATGGTAAATACATCCAAAGGGGCCAAGTTTTTCTGGTCCACTGTCTCCAAATTTAAACAGAGGTTCACCATCCTGTGATAAAACTTGGACCCTATGGTTACGGGTGTCGACCACGATAACGCGTCCTTCATCATCCACACAAACACTGACAGGATTCTGAAACTCTCCGTCTCTTGTCCCTCTCTTCCCAAAGCTCTTCACAAAGTCTCCAGTTTGAACATTAAATTGTTGAATGCGACGATTTAATTCATCCGCCACAAGAATGTTATCATCATTTAGGTAGGTAACGTCGCTTGGACTTTTTAGCTGTCCTTCCTTGTTTCCATAGCAACTTAGTTTTCTTAGACAGTTTCCTTCCATGTCAGTTATGAGAACACAGTGTTTTTCGTTGTCAACAACAGCAATTTGCCCTTTACTGTTTACAGCCAACCCTAGTGGTTTTTCAAACGTTTCGTTTTTTAATTCAAACTCCCCCAAAACCTGAATGAGCCGTTGTTTCACCTGGACAGTGTTGGTTGAAAGAACCTTCCCATTTATTTTGACTGTGATGTTAAAAGTACCAGGGACTTTAGGCACAAACTTCACCAGTGTAGCCTCTTCTTTCTCGTACGTTCTCAAACTTCCTACCTTCTCAGCGGGTTCTATGAGCACCTCGCATTGGAATTTGACTTTAACTCCTTCCGCTTTTTCTTTAGGGATTCTGGGGATAACTTCAAACTCTGATTCTACACCAGCTTGGATATCTTGATTCAGTCCCTTGATGATCGGTTCACTTGTTGCTACGCAGCCAACGCTAAATTTTTCTAGTTCCAAATTCGGAAAGTACTTCATAAAGGAATTGACCGGAAGTTCTGGGATGGGAGCGCTTTCAAGTTCGTTGTAACGCTGCCGTAGTTTTGCTTTGCTTTGCATTATGTCCGAACTGGAGCTTTTTTGCACCAGTTGTTCAGCAAACTCGACTGCTTGGTTGATCTGCTTTAGCAAGGACTGTACTTGTGTCTTTGCCGAGTTTAACATTTCCAATCGAGACTCGCGCGTGTTCTCGAGAAAGGTGATGATCTCACGTTCACTTTCACGAATCTTGGCAATGATTTGTTCCGCTGTCTGGGAAACTTCATGTTTAACATTAGTAATATTTGTATGCAGCTCAAGCTCTGTTTGTTCAAGCTTGAAAATCGCATCGCTGTAAAGTTTGGTCGTTTCTTTTAACATTTTGGCTCTCTCTAGGATTTTGACTTTCTCGCCATCCGCCACTTTATCCAGTAGTTCCACGTCATGTCCCTCGTGTGACTTGTGATCCGTAGCGATGCAAATTTGGCAAACACACAGTTTGCATTTCAGGCAGAAAAATCTTACAATCTCTCGCTCGTGATACTGCTGTGAGCAAAATGACTGCCTCTTCATCAGGGCTTCGTAGTCTTGAGGTTGGAACTGTTTGACTGGCGTCACCTTGTGTCCTTCTGTGAGGTTTGTAAACAGTTGATGTGCGTTTACACAGTCACTGCACATGAATTTAGCGCATTCGAAGCAGTAACTTATCTCTGCGCTCTTTTTCTTGCAAATGCCACAACTGATTTCGTTTCCATCGCCACTCTGTCGAGCAGCGAGAAGACTGAGCAAGCTGTTATGATGAAAACTAGACGGTAGTTTGTCGAAACAGTTTGCTTCGGGAAGATCGACTTCAGCTTGACACTCGGGGCAGCGAAACTTTCCATTCCTTTGGCTGATCAGTGCGTGTTTCTTCAAACAGTCACAGCAGAATGTATGCAGGCAGGTTATTGTCTTGGGATCGGTAAAACTATCCAGACAGATTGCACAAGTAACCTGTTCTTTGAGGTTTATCAACAGAGATTCCATTGTGAGAGACTGCTCAACAGCGGCACGCCCTTTCTTGTTCTTTGAGATTCCGGGAAACTCGAACCATTTATAGCGTCATAAAACATTTTGCTTAATACCCACAGGTAGCCAACTAGATTTGAAATAATCTACCCTCTGACCTTAGAAGCGGAAGTTAAGGAGGGTTTTTCCCCGCATTGTTTAGCTGGGAATATTGACACAAGTTAAGACAAAAGACAAATATAAAATCTTGCTATAAAGTGCGCGTTTTTAATGGACTTGTTTTTTTGTATATAATCTATATTACTTTGAGGGTGGACAGAGTTTGAGCATTCCGGTAAAGAAGAATTAAACGCCAACCTGTGACAAAAATGTGAGGTTCAATCTAATTGTCTGTCACTTATCATTTCAAACACGAAGGAGTAAGTAGAACCTCCGTGCATTTTCCTAATAACGTTTGTTAGTAATCTTTCCCATTCTTTGCTTGTGTTTGTGTGTTTTTTTGCATGTAGTAACATGTAGTCAGCGGCTATTCTACTGCTGTGTGGTGAGCTCAGTTTTGGAAGTAAACTTGGATAGCCCAGCAGTGAAGACTAGAAATCGAGCGAGAGGAATGGGTTGGAGTCGTGCAAACACAAACCTAGTTTAGTACTTTAATGTTTCTAGCATAACTCTTAAACAATCTGTTTTTTCAACCCGGAGAGGAAGTTTATAAAGTAAGGTTTTATTTTCAGAATCAAATTTAGGAGAACGAAAGACGAATGGTTAGAGATTTGGGGAGGGTCACGCTTTGTACGTCTTATTCGGAAATGAGAGAGGGGAGGGCAAAGAATCATAGTTTTGTTTCAAAAACAAACAAACAAACAAACAAACAAATCAAACATCCCCATCATAAATTAAAATGTGGCTTCCCTAACCAGGTAACTCTTAAACACCGGCGACACATTTTGAGGACGAATCTTGGAAGTACACTGATAAGAGAAGGCAATTTTAAGTTAAAAGAAAAGTAAAACTGCAGAATAGTTAGCACGAAATGTTTCACGTTTTTAATATTTTGTTTAAAATACTTTCTTCACAGGTATAATTATCTATCAATGTCATCACAAGCTGTCTGGATCAGATCTCTGACTTCTTTGCCTCTTCTTACCGACTTTTTAAAACATTTCTGTAACTTGTCATCTGTCAAAGGAGATCCACCTTTAAGAAGAAAAAACGAGAGCAGTAACTAAGCAACAAGAACCACGACCTCACCTTCCTCCGGCAGAGTTTGTCAAATACTGTTCACACCGCCTTCGCACAAAAAAAGGTTGACACGACACTGATTGAATTATGCGGTAAATGGAGTGAACTAAGAATAAAATAAGAATGGGTATAAAGGAAATAAACATAAATCAGTTATTCAACAAAAGGATTCAGGAGAACCTTGATTATGGGATAACATGTTTTGCGCGAAGAAAATGGCATTAATTTACGAACAGGGTTGCTATTTCTAACAAGCCACTGAGAACATAAGCTAGGGCACAACTGTAGATCACTGCCACACTCGCGAACAAGACTTCAACAATAAACACTTCCAAGTCTCAAGACTCCGGACTTTACGCGCTGGGAAAGCGGAGTCCCGGATGTATACAAGATAAAGAAAAATTATTACTCTCCACAGTGAACATATCGTAAGCGGATTAAAAAGCAAACTATTCGAGGACAAGCCCTTTGTAGAAGCGAATTCCCTCTGATACATTCCATGAACTTTGGAATCTCGTTACGGTGGTCAGGAAATTGACCTTATTACATAAACTCAACTGATAAAACCAAATTCTTGTTTTTAACTTCCACATCAACTCAACACCACAGTTTCTACAGAAACTAACCTCTTTTTTAGACTTTCATAAAGTCAAAACTTATACCGTCTTAGAAAACAGATGTATTGTTGCGGTTGTATTGGAATTATCTCGGTGTAACAGCCTCTAAGTTTATCTTTGATTTTATAGCTACTTGCTAGGTTCTATAGTGTTGATTTCCTTGTGTTCTTACACTAAGATGAGTAGTTCTTTTCTTCATAATTTTATTCTATTTTAAAGCCAAAAGTTACCTGGCTTATGAACAGCTGCAATTTTATCATCATCTGTCACAACTATAGTGACGATTCCAGAAACTAGATTTTCTTCTTCATCAGTTGGATCAGCAAATAGTACAGAGCTACAAATAAATAAGATCCATTTATTTCAGCTTTTTTTTATAGTGGCTAATCGGAATCCCCGAGCACCGTTATGAAATTAAAGTGACCATAGAGCATGCGCAGGGTGGAGAAGAGGAAACAGAGCTACGTAGCGTTAGGCTGTAGAACGGGATCAAAGAAGGCGTAGGTTCGATTTCCTAGGGCCGTACTAATATTGAGGGTTTTGAAATAACTGAAAACGCAAGTGAAGGTACTGCGGCCTTAATACCCATGCAAACAGCTCGACAAAGAAATCGCGGTCCCATTTCCAGTGGGAGACGACAAAAAAAGGACTTTGCTACAGCTTGAATAAGGAAGTTTTATTTCGATAAGCGATTGATGATCTAGAGAAAACTATATTGTTGGTGGCGTAAGCTGTGAGATTCCAAAAGGGAATATTAAAAACTGACTAGAATAACAAGACTTATTTTTACGCTATCTGATTGGTTCATTGGTAATTCGAACTTTCTTAGGGGATATGGGTGCTCCTTTAAAGCTTTATTTAAGCTGGTAAATAAATAAATGGGTGCTCCTTTAAAGACTAAGCTTTTAGATGTTAGGTGGGAGTACTTAGAAGGTATGGCTTATTTGAAGAACAATATCTAGCTACCTACACGTACATATGGAATGACTCACTCATCGAATATCCCAAAAGTAGATGCCACGGGATGCTGTCTCAGGTTCAGTGAAACTTCTTTTTTCTCTGATGGTTCTGGAGTTTGCGTTTCTTCATCTATCTTTACGGAATGAAGTCGTGCTTGAAAACAGGGGAAAGACGATTTGTAAGAAATAGGCCAATTAGCATGATGAACGCTATCGAGAAGAATTGGCTGCATTCCGTCCAACATTTTGTAAGGTGTTAAACAATGAAAGGCAATCCAAAAGGGCTGAGTTTGTTTCCTGTATTCACTCAAAACTTCAACAAGGTTAACAGATGCTGAACCATATTTTTGTGCCGTATATAACGATATAATACTCAAAAAAAATATTAATAATAATAAAGACAAAACAAAAGACATTTTAAATGTTTAACGAGTGTCTTTATATCTTATAATGACACGACTAAACTTCATGTCCAATTTTTTAGACCAAAATAACCCCAAATCTAAATGTTAGTGCAAGAATGAGTTGATCTTTAGAAGCAGCACATAATAAAATAAATATCGATCCACAACGACTGTTAATTATTGCTACTCACTGTTTTGAAGAGCTGCAACTGCTGCTATTAGACATGCATCTGTGATGTTACCATCATAACTTAAGCACATTATGTCCATATAGAGGACCCAGCATAACTAGAAATAGAAGCAAACAAATATTTATCAACATCTCAGGAATAAAGACTGGTTCGATGTTGAAAATGCTCACGTACAGTGAAGCCGTGGACTTCGTATATAATTATGAACCTGCATGTATGATGTACATGAATGGAGAGTAAAACAAGAAATTGCTCAGTAGAAACAACAAAGTGTTCACTTGGCCACACTGTCTCCTGGTTCAAAAGTCAAATTTCACTTGGCAATCCTAATGGAAATGAGCTCTGTAGAACATAAGATTTTCCTCATAAGTATTAGCCTGCGAATAGCAGACACATTTCTGGTCGTCGCTTCTCTCCCTCCGGAAAATATTTTTCAGAAGCGACGACCGGAAATGAGTCTGCTGTTCGCAGGCTACATAAGTATAAAATTCAACCAAATTTAAAGAACACAATGCTATATGTAAATATAGATAATCTGCACCATAAAATGAAAAAGTTTACTTCAAATACAATGTATTTTCCTTAATCTCAATAATACCAAAATATACAAAGACCTTACCTTGCCTTCTACAATACACAAATCCTCAAGACTGATTGGCTCACAGCTGGTGATCCAAAAGAAAAGTATGCAAAGCAAATTGATTAGCAGAGAACTGTACACAGCAGCTATTCAAGAGATAATTCATACACATGTCTGTCAACACTCTGCAGTGTAGCAATTAGAAAGACTGCAAGAATCTTCCAAAACCTTTGTTGCAGGCTCATATATAGCAGCTGGTTATCAAGACTACCTCACCAAATTTTAGGAAGAAAGTTTCAAATGAATACTGCAAATTTGCCTTTGTTCTGCTTGTAACTGCATTTAAAATCAATTGCCTATTAGTAAGGTGAATAAAGACACAACCTGTTTGGAACAATGTTAGATCATTGAGACAGATTTCTACATTTCTTACTTTGAAATAATATCCGCAACAAACTGGCTGAGAACTTGTGCCTGTTCACTTGGAGGTCCAGGACGAAATCGTGATGAACAGAGAGGAGGCAGATCTACATTGGGAACTGATTTAAGAAAAATGCATCAGTATACATACGAGTTACTACCCTGCGAGCAGAGGCTACATTTTTGCTCTATGAGCTAGCGTGCAAAAAGTAGCTACTTTTCGCACGCCCGCTCATACTGAGATAATGTAACCTCTACTCACAGGGTAACTAGTTACCAGGGGGGATAAGGGAACTCAACAAAGTTTTATATGGGGAGGTTCTGCTCTGAGGTCCAGCCCCTTACCCTTTATATATGAACAGTTTTTGACAGAAAAGGTTCCCCTAATTTCATATACCCTCTATTGACAAATGGGGCCCCTAATCACATACCTAGTTTAGAACTTTGCATCCCCTTTAACTGCTGTTAAATTACAAACCAGAATTTTTTACAGCCATGAAATGCATCTGTAAGCCAATTTTGGGCCTTTTTATGGACAAAAATGAAAGATTCCTACCCTTTCATATACATGTACTTCAAAAAGTGCAATCCCTACCTTTTCATATCCTAAGCCTGAAAAAGTTACCCCTCTTGGGTGGTCATATAGACTGATATGGGAAGCACCTTTTCCCTCCATCCCCCTGGGCAAGTTTAACAGGTGTATAATTTATATACTAAGCAGAAACTAAAATTCAACTCACCAAGGACAGAACCAAGAAAAAAAAAATAAATGGGGAGGGGGGGAGTGGAAAGAAGTGGGGACAGCAAGGGAAGGGTTCCAGTTACTAACTAGTAATAACCAAAGGTTAAGATGATAGATGGTCAAAACATGCTTGACCAGATTATGAGGGACAGAAGTTTGAAACACGCGCGATCAAAGTGGGTTTTGTGCATTCCATTCTTTCTCAGTGGAAGTCCAAACGAATGCTGACTACATACATGTGATGCATGCATAATAACAACCTGGACCACGATTGCAGGCTCCTCATGTCCCCTGCAATAATAACTAACGATAAAAAAATTCTGTTTTACAGTTTGCACAACTTTTTTTCACAGCTTTTTAACGTCCTGTGTGATCAATTGTGCCAACTTTAAAAATAATGATTAGTACTATATTCAATTCAATTATAATAAATTAGATGCAATTCATATTAAATTAATTAGTTTACTATATAATAATTTATTACCTTAACTTTAACTGACCTATAAATCCAAGTTTAGGTTTCTCCTGACTGGGCATGGCAAATTCCTGGCAATAACATCAGAATGGTATAATTACCCAAGATTCATCGTTTCAATAAATATTTTGTAAATAGTTATTTCTCAAAGATTTAGGTAAAATGAGGAGTATAACATATTGACAGGATTGCAAATCTGTACGACCACAATTTTGACAATCATGCACAGAATCAGACCACATCTTATATTGTGGTTGAACATTGCTGTCTTTTTCTGCATGGCCACTACCATGCATGTCTATTCAGTAGTGACCGTAACTTCCTCAATACATTCAACACACAGGCATTGCAATATTGACGAAACTCACTTCAGTACCATGTCAGCAGATCAGACCTGACTCCTAACTGAACAAAACTGGTTAACCTAAGTACACAAGTTTTATGTTACTGTGATGATGACTAACTGCCTTTACTCCACAAACGACTGTTGTATTTCCAAGTTTCACCAAAGCTGATCCCTCTGCTGTTGATATTGAACCTGTGAAAAACACATAATTATTGTAAGAAAAGGATGAGACCTATTGGAAAAAAGCACAAGCTTTACAATAAATAAAAGGTAAAAAGAAAGATAAGTTTGTCCCAATACATAAATCTAAGGAACTTTCCATGTTAAAGAATCTGGACAAACAGGAGGCCCTGGTCTGAAGATGAACGTGTATTTGAGGGGTGGGGAGATGGGGGGAACCTTATAGTATAGGAGAAGGGCCAGAGGCTGGAAATCACGGCTGCCCTTACATGCAGTAACTACTCTTTTCGCAAGCTCTCTCACTGAATATAAGTTTTTAAGATACATCCCAGATGGGAAATGCCAGATGTGAGTCAATGCTATATGAAGCACCCCCAGCTCTAGGGTTAGATACATTATACCGGCAAATTTTGCCAAAGTTGGAGCACTGAGCATAATGCCAGCATAACAGGCAGGTTGTTAAGCATAAGGTGATGAATGATAAAGAGAAAATTAATATTTCTCCACAAATGTAATGAGACATTTAAATTTCAAGTGCTTTTGGTTAGAAATTAATTTATTCAAAGGCTACTTTCAGGGCCTAGTTGCCCCATAGCATCATATTTTTGCCCGGCTGCAACCTGATCAGAGAGTGCATCCTAACGATGGCGAGTTCCATTGAAATAAGACATTTTGAGTGTTTTTGATGAGCATAACTTATTTGTCGTTTATTTCTTGTAAATTTGTAATTGATGCAATGAAACGTTCTGTTTCTGGTTTATGGAGGTTTTTTTTTCTGCAGGCATAGAAAAGGCATCAAATATATATCAGTCGTGCATAATGCTACGTACTTTTCGAACATAATTTTAGGCATAATGCTGATGTTTTGAGGGTGGCGCTCAAAAGCATGATGCTCAAATGTTTCAAGCATAATACCCTCCCCAGCTCAAAGATGGAACATTGATTGCTGTACGTCTTACCAACATTTAGGATCGTTTTTCTGAATTCCAAAAGTGCACGGCCATCTGGTCGAACATCCTGTTTCTGCAAGATCAGAACATTGAAGTTGACAAAATTGTACTTTTCCAAGTCTCGAAGTCACTTTAATTAGTTGTAATTTACAACTTGATCTTACCAAAAACTGCCTGTAATATTCCAAAGGCTGTGCAGTTCTGTAGAAGGAGACAATAAAGAGAGATAACTGACGAGAAATAAAACAGCACTGACCAAGAACACGTGTTTTGAA